TTTTGAAATTGATGTACTATCAGTAGTCTCTCTATAAACAGCATATGGGGATATGTACTTTGTTAATTTTCTCCATGAAGATGGATAGCTCAGGTTCAGCTGACACCCACCTTATCTCTGTGACGTTGTTTTTGATTTATGGGTAGACAGTCTGGATGATGGCCTAAGAAACCTCCATCGCCATTTGCACTATGAACTTCAAATTGGCTGCCTAGCAATCAACATCGAGATGGTAAGGCAATGGACGTCCTTCTTCACAGGTGTTGGCACTCAGAATGTGTTATGATGACACTTAGTGACAGGTGCTAGGTCACTGCATAGAAACTTGAAGGTGACTTCCTTTATGTCAAAATTTGGCATTTCCTGCTGGTCTACCCAAGTGCAAAACAAAATATGACCCCAGGAACTGGAGGATCATTTTCTTCAGTGTGAATAAGTTATCTACCCTTCAGCAGCTCACTGGAGCTTTTCTCCCTGGAGAACAAGATTGGTCCAGCACTTTCTAGATGATTCCTGACCATAAGCATAATTAGGAATAAAGCAGTGGCAGAATCAAAACCAGCAGCTAGAATGGCAGCAGTATCCATCAGCTTGTCAGTTAGTTGCCAGACAGGGTAGGCTCAGCCTGGCTTTTGAGGTGTGCAGATGTCCAGGTCTCTTAGCCACGGAAACAAAGATTATTCCCTGGAATGGGTTTCCAGGACAATAGAAAGTTGCATGAAACAACTGCCAAGTTCTGTAGTTCAATTGTTACATATGGGATGAACTGTAACATACTAATAGCCTACCAAAACTAAATTAAGAATAATTTTGTAAGCAATTTGCTGACATGATCTGTGTCCAACTGTCTAATTGTACAAGCAAATTGTACCATTAGGATGGTACTGTAGTATGTTAATAACTACTATCAAATATTAGTACATGATTACATAATTTAATTAAATGTAGAACTAATATATCCTGTTGAAACATTGCCAGCAGAGATTATATTTATGATACTTTTAAAAAGCAGTCTCTGTATTTACTATTCTTCTTGATTAGATTCTATAATGTAAAGATTATGCATCAACTGCTACAGGTTGATGAATCCATTATCCTGATGATGCATCGGTGCTGTGGCTCCATTTTTCTGTGTTCAAGTAAGGCTGAGCGCATACCCCTCAGGCATATACACAAAGACACACAAGCACATACAGTCAGGATACTCAAGCACTCCGTCCATGCAGATCAACACACACAGAAAGTACCTCACCCTATATAATGTGTCTTGAAAAGTTAGTTAATGACACTGTGAAGCCATCAGAATGAACAAGACATTTAAAAACTAAGCATCCAGAACATGAAGACAAACCTCTACAATTTTTTCAGCAATGATTCAAACTATGCAATATTCAAGCCAGTATTTAACAACATTTCACTGAATTTAATGATTAATGTTTAGAAGCCTCCTTTGAGGTTTCTTTATACCAAATGACAAGAAGCCACATACCACTAGGGCAACACTTGTTCTTCCTGACACAGTAAAAATGGCTGAAATAATACACAGAAAACAGTACAGTGACAAACTGAAATGCATTCCTTTGTCAGCAAATGCTGTTGGAAGATGAATAAAAAACATTGCTGAAGATTTGAAGAAACAAGTATCAGTACAAATTACACAGTGTGAGAGGATTGCTATGCAGCTGGATGAAAGTACAGATGTTTGGAACATGTCTCAGTTTATGTTTTGATAGTGAAATACATGAAGAACTACTTTCTGTGAGCCACTAAAGAAAGACCTACCAGAGAAGCTATGTTCTCAACAGTAAATTACTTCTTTAAAAAAATGTTTTATGGGAAATCCAGGCAAGTGTAACAAATGGTGGAGCAGCTGCTTTGACTGGCATAAGTATTGCATGGTAAGGTTACATAGGTAGCACCACACCTGAAATTCATTCACTGTGTTTGTAGGCAAGCTATTGCAGCAAAGAAATGGGAGCCAGACATGCACAAAGCGCTACAGGAGGAGAAAATACAGTGAAAAAGCTTGTGGGTTGAGACAGGGAGATCACTTAGCAATTACCATCACAGGTAAAACAGACTCAACTTGGGGAAATTAATTTAATTTATTGTCAGTTAATAACAGAGTAGAGTAGTGAGAAATAAAGAACATAACCAAAAAACGTTTTCCCCCCACCCCCTCCTCTTCTCTCATGACTCTTCTACCTGAGCAGTACAGGGGGATGGGGAATGGAGAATGCAGCCAATTCATAACACTTTGTCTCTGCCATTCCTTCCTGCTCACACTGTTCCTTTGTGTCAATGTGGGGTCTTTTCCAGGGATTACAGTCCTCCATCAGCTGCCCCAGCATGGGTCCTCTCCACAGGGTGCAGGCCTCCAGGAACGGAGTGCTTCAGCGTGGATACTCCACAGGCCACAGCTCCTGCCAGGAACCTGCTCCAGTGTAGGAACTCCACAGGCTGCAGTTTTCTTCAGAGCACATCTACCTGCTGTGGCATGGGCTTTCCATGGACTGCAGTGTAGATATCTGCTCCAATGTGGCCTTCCACGGGCTGCAGGGGGAACATTACCATGGTCTTCTCCAGGGGCTGCAGGAAAATCTCTAGGGCCTGGATGAACCTCCTCCTTCTTCACTGACTTTGTGCCTGCAGATCTGTTTCTCTCGTATTTTCTCAAATCTCTCTCACATAGTTGCTGTGCAGTGTTTTTTACTTTCTTGTTCTATGTTATCACAGAGACACCACCAGCATCCCTCATTGGTCCAGCTTTGATGTGCGGTGGGTCCAGTTTGGAGGCTACTGGAACTGGCACTAGGCAAGATGGAGACAGCACCTGGTCTCTTCTAAACCTTGTCACATAAGCCAAATAGAGTATCACACAGACATTTGCTGGTTATCTCATGGCAATGGGCCTAAAAGAGCTGTTGAATTTAAAGACCAGTTACACATTTTCCTTCTTGGAAAAGACAAATGTTCTGAATTTGCTGACCTTTTCTGTGATGGCAAGCACCTGTCAGTAGTAGGTTACCTAGCAGTTATATTCAAAAAAATAAACACACTTAATGTCACACTTCAAGGTGAAAGTTACCTTCTAACTGCTTTTCAAAAGAAACATGTGCTGTGGAAATTTTTGTGATTTTTCTTGCTGAAAATGATGTGTGCCACCTACAAAAACTCTTATACATGTACACTTACAACATTTGGAAAATTACCTTCCCAACCTGTTCAAAAATCTTCTAAAGGAAGAATTTCAGTGGATTTTGAACCCATTTGTTAAAGATACAAAAAGGCAAAACAAGTCTGAAAGAGTTTAAAAATGCAACACAAGTCTCGTGGAAACACAAGAATAGTTTGCAAGAACTGAGTGACATCAGGAAAAGTGGACATTCACTAGATGAATTTCAACAAGAACTTTTGCATAATTGGTGGAAGGGATTGAAAAATTAGTATTGTGATTTATTAAGCGCAGCCAACAATATACTTCTTCCATTTGGATTTATGTATCTTTGTGAGATATCTTTTTCAGGTATGACAGCCATTAAAACCGAATATTGAAATAAACTGAACATAGAACCACTCTTTTGAAACACTGTATATAATGCAAATATAGGTATATAAAGCACGACACTAGACACTGGAGTTCAGAACTGTACTTGTAAAAACCTGAGTTCAGCTGCTGCATAACCCTAGACATGTCTGAACTTCATAGCGTTGGGATGTCGGTGTGTCTGGTTTGTCATCTCTTCCTCTGCCAGTGCTAAGGAAAACACCGAGCTTCCTGCTAACAGACACAGAGGAACAAAAGGAAAGAAAATGCACAGAACTCTCTCAATGGAATGAAAGAGATGTAGATACTTTCCAATTCAGAGTACTATTCACCTTGAAGTGCTTTTCAAGGTAGAGAGATTCCTGTTCTCCTTGGTAATGTCATCTTCAAATAATTTCTGAAGTTACAATGCCTTTTTGTCATGGGAAATGAGGCAGGGTCCCTGTATCTTTCTCCTCTACCATGTAGCCGTTAGGACATCTAACTGGAAGATGGAGGGGTTGGCCAGATTCTCCTCTGGTCAGGCTGAGTAACCTGTCATCCAGACCACCATACACCATGGTGTATGAATAAAAACAGGCACAAGAAGTGGGCTGACAGCAGTCAGAGCAAAGAAATAAGGCAGTAGATCAGATACACATCACAACATGATGACCAACAAAAGCAAATTGTGTGTTTGCTCCATCAATTAGCTAGCAGGAAAAAAACAGGAATGAGCTACAAATCAGTGTAAAACATACCTTTCTCTTCAATTGGCTTGGTGTGATGGATCCTTAAAGGTGTAGTTAGGCTGCTATCTGCAGAACTTGAATGCTTAGGGGCTAGCACTTCTGACTGGTCAATACATAAACAAAACATCATAGATTCGGGGGGGGGGGGGGGGCGGGACATGGAAAGACTGTAAAACAAGTATAGGAGCTCCTTAGGTAACCTTAGCTATTCCATTACGAGTCCATAAGTGGAGCTGAACCAAGGTCTGAATCCTTTGTTTTGTTAGGGAAAAAATTCTTGCGCTTTCTGATACGGAAAAGATCTTTCTCTCCCCCCAGATAGTGGTATGGGGCCCAATCTTAGCATGAGAGAGAATGCACACATTTGAAACTCTTCTCCATCTTTACATAAATAAATTTAAAGGATTCTGTGAAAGCTGGACTACAACACATTTTTCAAAACGTATCCAAGCCCTTTAAATGCAAATCCTTTTTCTGAATTGAAAAGACCGTAATTGAAACTTTGTCCAATTTGCATGCTTAAAGAAAGCAGCTGAGCTATTAATCATCAAAAATGTAAAATAACACACATATTAAATGACTTATTATGATACTTCTTCCTCTGAGATAAATAGGTGAGCATGTACTGATAACAGCTAGTTGGGATTGGCATTGCTCTGCAAATCTAAGGCTTTCAGGAGCCCATGAAAAGCTGAGTAAAAATTGTGAGTTCTGGAGTTGCTATGCCCACAGTAGTTTCTGTCCTTTTTCTAACAATTGCTATAATTGAATCCATGGCAGGACTTCTAGGAAATGGAATTATCTTGGCTGTCAGTTCAGCTAACTGCATCAGGAGCAAAATACTGTCCTCGTACGATATGATTATGATCTTTCTGAGTTCATTCAGACTCTTTTTGCAGTCCTGGTCGATGCTGGATTTACTCCTATGTATGTTCTGTGAAATGTCCTATTATGAAGAAAATTTCTCTGCCATTTTCTCTACAGTTTTTGTGTTTCTGAACTTCTCCACCTTCTGGTTTGCTGCCTGTCTTAGCGTCTTCTATTGCACCAAGGTTGCTACTTTGACTCAGTCTTATTTCATCTGGCTGAAGCAAAGAATATCCAGTCTCATGCCCTGGATGCTGATAACATCATGTCTTCTCTCCTTTGTGACCTGTTTTCCTTTCACTTGGGAAGTCTACAGCGTGCGTGACAACTTCACTGCTCCTTTAACCATAATGAACTCTTCAGAAGAGAGAGTGACAAAGAAAGTTAATGTCTTTTTATTGATTCTTTTCTTTAATGTTAGTATAGCCTTGCCTGTAATAGTATGTATTGTTTCAAGTAGCCTGCTGATTAGGTCTCTCTGGATTCACACCAGGCAGATGCAATATAATGCAACTGGCTTCAGGGATCCCAGCTCAGAGGCCCATATTAGTGCCATCAAGTCAGTCTTTTCCTTCCTTATCCTCTATGTTATATATTTTATTTCTTTGGCTCTCCTTTATTCTGATGTTTTTATCCCTTTAAGCATTGAAGATGCCATATGTATAGTCGTAATTGCTGCCTGTCCTACAGGGCACTCCATGATGTTAATCTGGAGCAACCCCAAATTTCGAGAGTTGCCAGCTAGGATTTTACACCATGCAAACTGTCATGTCAGAACTGGATCCATGTAGAAGACACTGGCCTAGCCTGGGCTTTTTAGTTTAGACTCAAATTAATTAAATTGAAGCCACTAGACGTATAAGATAATAGAAGCACAAATGAGTAGCTTTTATGGCCCTGATGTGGAATCATGCAGGAGCTGGGAATTTGCTTTACTTGGATGTGATACTTGTAATGAAGAATTCTGTAAGTTCTCTCCTATTTTAAAAGATGATTGCCTGAAGAATATAAGTACTCTACTTCCTAGACTTTTCTCTAAATCACCACTGTTTCTCCAAGACAGCAGAAAAACAAGTCTGAGACTCAGACAATAGTGTAATCACTTCAAATGGTTTAAGTTTCAAATTAGACTCTTATGAAACTAACAGAACAGACCCGCTTAAGCACAGGCATGCTCAACTTTTATGTGTGAATACGAAGCCTGAGGGCTGTTTCTGATGAGTACAAGCGCATAATGAGGATGCTAAGGAATTCCCGTGAATTTGGGAATTTCTTACTGATCATTTTCAACTGCCTGTTGATTCTGTAAGGAGAAAAATATTTGTTGATTCTAAAAGCATCTTTAAGATTCCAGTATGATTCAGTAAAGAATGACACAGCCTTTTGATCTTCCTGCTGTCGCTGAATTAGTAATCAGTGTCTCTGTTCCCAAGAAAAAGGTACATTGGAAGACTCCAAAATCCTGTGATTAGAGCTAATAGGAAAAAGAATTTCCTTAATATCAAACTTTTCTGAAGAATGAATTAAAAGCGTAACATTTCAGGTTTTGTTATGGACAATAGAGTTCTCAAATCAAAAGCATGGATTTGTGTCATTTAAATATTGTCAAATATCATTAAATAATTAAAATATTAAATTTAATGAATTAGTATTATTAGGAAAATAGTTCACCAGTGTTTAAATACATGGCTTGAAATTCTCTTTAAAAGTTTCTAGAAATTGCACATTTCCATGAAAAGTCTCAATTTTGACAAGCTGTGCCCTATAATTTTATTTTTTTTTCCTGGAGAAATGACATATTTTGACAGAGTCCAAAATCCAGCACGGTATTGTTCCATTAGAACTGGAACTTTATAATCCTTTTAGTTGCAGTGGGAGTTCACATTCTTTTCAAGTGATCACCACTGAAGTATGTATGGCTTAAGCCTTGTGTTGATTAAGCCTGTTCTGAGTTAAAATATCTGGTTTTGATGTTGTCACAGCAAACAGCCGTTTGAAGCAATATATCTGTATTTAAACTCAGTTTGTGTGAGAATTGGGGTTTTAAAAAGATTTTAAAGTACTAAGTTAAAGAATTATTTCTGTCAGGCTCTTTCTTCCCCTTTTGACATAAACCATTCCACAGATGACTGCAGTGGCTTGCAGAAGAATTTTATATGACATTCAACAGGGCAGGTGAAAATTCACAACATGTCAATGATATCATGATGTGGCATTTTCACCATCTGAGGAAAAGGATGGTTCGCAGCTTAGCACCATGAAAAACATATGTTGGGAAGTTCAGTCTGTCCTATTTCCCTCTGTGGTGTCTCCTCGCTGGTTTTAGGGAAAAATCCTCAGATCTTTGACCACAAGAACAAGCAATTTACATGGGGTATGGTCAACTCATAAAACTTTAATTTTGTCCTGCTCCAGGCTAAGCTATAAGGTACCTGGCTGTTCAGTGGGGACACCCTGAACAGCCTCTATCACATAATTTGGCTGACATTATATTATTTCTTTTCCACTTCCCCCCTCATGAATAAACAACCTCTCCAGATTCCTCAGTGGACGTGAGATTTGGAAGAGGTTCCTGTGTTATTTTTCAGAATTTGTAAGCTTTCATTGCATAGAGTTAAATGAAAAAGTTACCTGTGCATCAACATGCATTTTGGGACCTAAGAGGGAAAGTAGACAGAAATACTGGTATTCTGAAATGGGGTTAGTCTTCTGGTAGACCTTTCTTTCTGTATATGACCAGCTAACTAAGTTGTCATATAATAAATAACCATTTAAATGCATTTTATAAACAGTCTACCAAATCCTTGTTGTTCTATTTGATAAGTTATTAAATAAGATCAATGATCACTTTTTTTGGGGGAAAAAAACCCAAACAAAACAAAGCATGTACTAGTAGGAAAATAACAGTTACTAGAGTAATGATTCTTTGATGACGTGCATCTTATCTGATAGCAGGCCTTTTTCTCTTTGTTTGGTTTGTAAGCTGCAATTTGGTTTGATTTCCCTATCCTAAACTTACCAGTTTGCACCTGAAGAAAGTTTGTAATTCACCTTATCAGACTCTTCTAAAACATCCTAAGTATTTTCACACACACTAAAGTTACTTAGAGGCACTTGCAGCTCTGTTTAAGACTTGGTATAGTAAATTAAAACAGGAAATGAGCAAAGTTCAAAACTCATTCTGTCCTAACACTAGCAGAATGAGATGATACAAATTATGTTGTCTTGTAGCTCTTCTCATTGAAAAAAAAAAAAAACAAAACAAAAAAAAACAAAAAAAAAAAACAAAAAAACCCCCCAAAAATCCCACCTAAGGTTTTCTAGGAAACTGCTCAAATGTAGCATAAAACAAAGATGCCAGCATTTGAAACAAAGGTCTTTTCCACTAAAGAGACCTTTCTGGATTTCTATCATTTACTAGCTTGATCAGAAGCCTTTCTTTTTGCCTGAGGAGCAAATTTCTCACAAACTAGCAAGTGATGTGATTTCCATTCCCTGAAGAAGATGTATTATAACACTGGAACATTATAACTATATTTTAACAAGGTATTTGGCCTTTAGCTTCCTTTGTAGCAGACAGACAGAAAATTACTTCTGTTATACTTCTTGAAACTGGGGACTATTTGATACTGATGAAGCCATACACAGAAGAGGCCCTAAACAAAATGGTTAAGAAAATCAGTTTTGTGATAATATCAATATATTTTATTAAAGTTGTCTATAGATAACTGTAAATCATAAAATACTTCATAATGATAAAAAAATCAATGAGTAATTCAGGGGAAAAAAGGACAACAGCCCTAATTTGTTTTCTAAATCATGGCCTGGCCTCTTTTCCAAGTAATGAAACAGTAATTTGAGTCTAGTCATTACCTCAAGGCAAGGCATGCAAAGATGTGCTATGTAATTGACAGATCAATACAGGATCCTTCTCTGATTTGCATACTTGTAAGCACAGCTGGAACTTTCATAACTGAAATTCTGCAAAACTTGTTATGGACTCTATTTTCAAAGCCCATCAGATCATGATTTTAAGAAACAGGGAAATCTGTATACACACCTTTCTGAAATGGGAGCTACATGTACACACCAACATATACATGCACATGTACATACTGGCAACCAGGTATCTTGTATGATGGTTCCTTGTATCTCTGCATGTGCATATAAAAGTGGAAGGCAGGACTTCAACATCAAACTGCTACTTAAATCAAACTATACATCCTTTAAAAGGGCATAGTTTCATCATTACACATCATTTTCTTCCCTCTTCATATGGCCTTATTTGTGGAGATACGGAAACGCATCTGTAACTCATGCCTAAAAGAGCGTACCTGATACGGTAGGTTGCAAGTGTCTTACACAAGCCCAATTTTGCTGTCTATTTAGGCCAGTTCACTGAGCTCTCTTTGCATCCAGCTTCTTACTTTTTATTTAAGCAATGAAACCTCTTAGAAAAGTATCTTTGTTGCACAAAGGGGAGTTAAAATGATGACATCTACACTTAGCATTTGAATTATTTTCCTCTATCCTATGAAATGGAATTCTTTTCTTTCTTTTTTGACACCTGGTATACAGTGTTAAGCACAGAGATGAAAAATTAAAAATTTCTATTATCTTCAAGTTGTTGCAAAGATATGTGTTGAACAAATCTAAAATACAGCATGGATGGAAATTCCAGTTTATTGGATTAGTATATATGTGTTTGTGAAAGCCCAGGAGTAGTTAACATCAGTCCCTCCAAAAATGACAGAAATTTCTGCTAAAAGGAGTTGTCATCAAAACACATTTTGTTTAAACACAATCACAGTAAGGGTCTACCTACCAGTGTCTCTTACATGCATACTAATTCCTAGATCACTTATTTTAAAGGGTGAGAATGAGACTTGGATGGAAAACCTCATATTTCCCATTAAATTGTTCATTTTACCACATCTCAGCTTCTGTGTGTGTCTGTGTCTGTATCTGAGTCTGTGTGTCTGAAATGTTGTCCTGAGAGTATCTTTTGCCAAGCTCAATTGCTGCAGATATCACTTTTGTAAGGCTACTAAATTTAAAATTCTTCACATAGGCACTCAGGTCTGACAAGCTGAAGTGACAGACATCAGCCTTAATGGTATAAGAGGAATTAGCTGCCAAATTTTTTTCCAACATTTTTTGAGCAAAACCTAAGAGCCCACTGCGTAAGAATAAGGCATGAAGTAACTCACACTCTCTAAAGTGGGGAAAGA